TGTGGTGGAATTCTAAGAAAAACCATGCGGCAAAACCGTGCCAGGTTGCAATTTAGGCTCCTCCCCTGACTCCGCCCACTTTTCTCCGGAGTTTTTTTTCTCCGGAAATTTTTGGCAACAAATTCGGGGGTACAAGGGGGTACAACTGATTTAGGGGTACAAAATTGGTGATTCGGGGGTACAAAATTCGTTGGTACAAAAATTCGGGGGTACAACGATTCGGGGGTACAAACTATCAATGATTCTGGGGTACAACCCATTTCATTTATGGGTACAACGCTTGTGATTCGGGGGTACAATTTTTTTCAGGGAGTTTCTGAATTCCTGAATTTCAGAGCTTGAAAATCTCAGAATTCTTAGAATTTCAGAATTTTGGAATTCCAGCATTTCGGAATCTGAAAATTTCGAAACTTCAAAATCTGAGAATCTAAAAATTTCCGAATTTCAGAATCTCAGGACTTCAAAACTTCGAAATCTCAGAATTTCAGAACTTTGGAATCCCAGAATTCGGAATCTGAGAATTTCGAAACTTCAAAATCTGAGAATCTAAAAATTTCCGAATTTCAGAATCTTAGGACTTCAAAACTTCGAAATCTGAGAATTTCAGAACTTTGGAATTCCAGACTTCGGAATCTGAAAACTTCCTAACTTCGTGATCTGACAACTTTTGGGAAAAGAAATGAGAAAAATTTCAATTACCACGAAAATTGAGGATAATTGGGAAAAATTGGGAAAAAAACGGAAAATTGGGGTAAAAACGAAGGAATATTGAGAAAAAAATAAAAATGAAATAGAATTGAGAAAAAGTGGTATTGAGGAAAGTATCGGCTGGGTTTTAATCCTAAATTAAGCATTAAAAACCTGAGTTTGTAAAACTTGTCAAGCTTATTTTACAGTTCTCCATTTTCAAAAAGAACAATGTGACAATGAGAAGTGAAAAATTTCTGTCGTCCTTAATTCCCAGATGCCGAAACACTGAAATTCCAAAGTTCTGAAATTCTCAGATTCTCAGATCCTGAAGTTCCGAAATTCTCAGATTCCGAATTCTGGAATTCCAAAGTTCTGAAATTCTGAGATTTCGAATTTTTAAAGTCCTGAGATTCTGAAATTCGGAAATTTTTATATTCTCAGATTTTGAAGTTCCGAAATTTTCAGATTCCGAATTCGGGAATTCCAAAGTTCTGAAATTCTAAGAATTCTGAGATTTTCAAGCTCTGAAATTCAGGAATTCAGAAACTCCCTCAAAAAAAAATTGTACCCCCGAATCACAAGCGTTGTACCCCTAAATGAAATGGGTTGTACCCCAGAATCATTGATAGTTTGTACCCCCGAATTTTTGTACCCACGAATTTTGTACCCCCGAATCACCAATTTTGTACCCCTAAATCAGTTGTACTCCCTTGTACCCCTGAATCATTGTACCCCCCGAATTTTTTGCCGAAATTTTTTTCTCCGGAATTTGTGGGGTCTCCCGGCTCCGCCCTTCACAAACGCAAACGCGCTTCACCGCGCTTTGAGAAAAATTCGGCGCCAAACGCATCACTTCCATTTTCAAAGCGATTTTGTTTTCCGTTTTTCGAACTTATTTTGGTGATTATTCCTGTTTCGTTTCTTTCAGAAATGGCTTCCAGCTCAACTGCTTTCTATCTCAAAGACGCCGGGTTTCACATTCGCAATGTTCCAAAGGAATGGAACGATTGGAACTTGTTCCACATTTTCCAAGTCTTTGGAAGAGTCGGATATTGCCGTGTTGCAGGACAATCAAATGATATGCAGCTTGGGTAGATAGATTAGGCAGCTTCAAATGATTCTTTCAACATTTTCAGATTTGTGAACATGTTGTCTGCTGCGGACGCCGAAGAAGTTCGTAAGAATTTGCACGATGGAAATCTGATTGGAGATAACTATTCGCTTAAGGTCCGCCAAGTTTTTCTAGCAATTATTCCTCTATTCAAAATTACAGGTCAGTGACCATAAGAACATCGGTGGAGCTCTTCTTCCAATGGCTTCCATTTCCGTTCAAAAGCTTCTTTCTTCGCCACCAGCAAAATCTGGACCAGTTCATCTGTCTTCTTCATGGCTTCCTCTCAACAAAGATATCGAGGTAAACATTTTGTTAATTGTTTGAAAATGTGAATTCCGATTTTAGGTTGAAGTTGTCGACTATCTTCCATCGTCGTCAGCAGCTAAGGATGTTTTCGCTCTAACGATTCTCCGTATCAACGATGCACAGTCAAATGAGAAGTACAATGCGATGCATGAAAAAATGAATTCGTATGCACAACTAGTGGCTTTCGATTCGGAGCTTCAGATCGGTTACGATGGTGTGTTCCGAGAGTCGCCACGCTCCATCAAGCGAGTTCGTCGTATTTCGGCAACAAAGCTGTATCTCGTTGATTTTGGAAAGATCATTAACTACGAGAAGAGCAAGTGCTTCCAGATTCCTAAAGTTTTCCAAACTATACCGACAAGAGTGGGTGAAAAACATTGGGTGCGAGTATCAAATACAATTTTACAGGTGTCATTTTGCGGTCTCGATGGTCTCACTTGGTCGGAACAAGCTATCCCATCTTTCGACAATATTCGTGAAGTCGTTCAGAAGTGGGGTGCGATGGAAAACGCGACTCTTCACGCCGTGACTTGCGGTTTCGCCGGTGCTATCAACATGATCAACCTATTCTGCGGAAACTCTGTTCTTGCCGAACGTCTTCAACGAAAAGGAATTTGCGAATACCTGCCACGCCATCAACAACCTCGTTTTGCATACTCTCGTGATTCTCTTCTCAAGCACACCAACGCTGGAGTGGTGAGAACAACCTTTCTACATAGCTTCTAAATTATCAATGCTTCTTCAGACTGCTCACATTTCGAACGATGCTGATGTGGTGAAGGATCTTTTGAAGAAGATCGACGGAGTCAAGAGCATGCTTCGTGAGCTCGATCTCTAACTCTTAATATGCAACAATTTCATTGAAATACCCAATTTATAAACAATTTGAATCTGAATCAATCGTTCAACAAAGCAACATGTTTTCAAAAACCCAAAAGAAAGATCAAGCATTTTGTTGTTCAGAGGAGGTAGTTGCCAAATAACGTTGTAGCGGAGAGTCGGCATTCAAAATCTCGATAGACCCGACGTCCAAAAGTTGATCGTCTTCTTCATCGTTCCAAACGTCTGCATTCAAAAAGTGCTTGACTACTTTTTGACGAATCATTTCCATCTTTCCGGATACCGCGAGGACTTCGGTTCCTAACTCAGATGCAGCTCCGCTTTGAAGAGTCTTTGCACTCAGTACTAGAGTGACACTATCAAGTATGATTCCAATGGCAGCGACACTATGAAGAACTCCCTTGGCGAGTGAAGAGGAGAGACGACCCTGTAAAAGAATGGATGGATATTTAAATAAAACAAATTTTTAATTTGACAAACCATAGATGTGATCGCAAATCTGGCTCCTAATCCAGTGATTCCCGAAACAGAAAAACCGAAAATGGTCTTAAGTTTGTTTTCCATGTCATTATCATCTTTGAAGTGCTTGTAGAACTCTTCTCCCTCCACAATCTTTTTCACTGCTTCCATTAATTCTTGTCTCGAAACAAGAAGTTCTTCAAACAGTCTTTCATCTTCTTCAATCAATGCGAGCAGTTCCTTGTGCTGTGATTTTGAAAACATCCATTTGGAGATCCCGGTTGCAAGGTTTGATATACCGGCAGCTGTACCAACAATTAATCCTGCGACAGCAACAGGAGGCATCAGAACAACTCCGCCGATGATAGCGAAACCCGAAACAACTCCAACAGAACTTCCGACTGTAGTGGAAATCGCACATCCTTTCTCCCAGTTGTGAAGCTGGAACAAAAATGTATAGAAAACAAGAAATCTTCTCTTCTAAAAGAGAAGTCGAATTTTTTTCCAGAAATATCTCCCCACCTTTTCTGCAATATCTTCCATTTTTCTGACCATTCTTCTCCGGTTATTACTCCATTTATCCAGGAACTCCTGAGTTTTTATCGCTTTCTCGCTGAGCTCTTTCGACATTGATTTGGGAATCTAGAATTATTAAGATTACGCTTTCCTTTTTCTAAAAATCAACTCCTCACAAATAGAAGACTTTCTAGAGAGCTATAAATAGGTATCCCGTTGTCTTCAGGTTGGGAAACCTCTTCATCGCGTTCCTCATCTTTTATCTGCATATTTAGTTCGCTGAAAATTAAGTTAAATATGTTAACTTAAAGCATCAAATTTCAATTTCATTTAAATAGAAAGTAAAGGAAACAATCTGAAGAAGTTCTTCAAAAATTAGGAGAAGAAAATACCAAAGGAAAAGGACAAAACAGTGAAAACCATAAACTAGAGGAAAGTTTTGAAATAATAAATGAATTGTTTCGCAATTTCAGAAACGATAGTCAATGAACAGAAGGATGGTAAGCGAATCACTAGAAAACAACAGCTAGATTAAATGATTGGAGAATTTAAAAACGAATATAAAACGGATGATGCCAGTATAGAAAACGGTTTGCGAAAGAAAAACGGAATGAATGTCTCTCAATCTTCGTCCGTTTTTGATTGCTAATTCCTAAATTTGGATGATTTTAGGCTACGGTAGTTTTTGTTCAGGTCTAGGACACCAGCGGTTTTCTTTCACAAATGTCATATTTTAGGCTGGCAAAATAGTGACAAAATTTTCAAAGAGAACCTTTCAAGTGGAAAACCCTACAGACATTTCTTCAAAAAATCAGTTGACCAAAATCGTTCAGCTTTCTTCAAAATAACTAGGAATTGGTAGCATGCAATAAATATCATAAATTATTATTCAATGGGTTTTGAAAAGTTAGAAAGGAAAAAAAAATAGAATCGATTGGAGAATCACATGTTTACCCCGATGGCCTCTCTCCTCCTTTCCTTGTCGTTCTCGGGTGCCTCCCATGACACGTTGACCCTCTCGGCGAGAGACAAAGAGGCGGCAGGCAACTGGGGGAAGAAGGCTCGAGACCATCGGGTCAGACGATGCTTTATATTTAGGTGGGTCTATGGGTGAACTAACGTTCTGTAGAATTCATTGGGACAGAGGAATTGACTAAATTATGATGAGGGCGAAAAAAGACAACATTATCACATAGAAGACGAAAACAGTTCCCAGGTGTATATTGATAAGAGAATTCAGTAGGTGATACGAAGCGTGAATAGAGAAAAAGAGTTAAAGACGAGAATGGAACGAATATTGACAGTCGAATGTGCATAGACGTCGTAGTTGATGAGTGACGGAAGTTAGCGATCCTGAAATTGAAAATTGTAGATATTACAAGTTTCTCCGACGGCAAAATTGTTCCCAACAAAAGAAAATCAAAATTTCAAGAAGTGAACCTCTGATTCAAGAAAGATGAATGTATTGAGGGGGTATGCATAAGTATATACTCAAATGATCAAAATACTTCGAAAACAAAGCTCAGCGGTTGTTTGTTTTCTCACAAACAAAAAAGAAATCAGCTGACCGACTAGCGCTCCCAAAGCAGGCTAAACGAGACTTGTTTTGGTCAATAAAAACTTGAAACTGAATATGAATTCAGCTTTAAACGACGGAACTGAATGCAATTTCACACACAACACTTATGAACCAATCAAATCAGACATCTCAAAGATCAAATGGAACCAGTGATAAAAATTCCGAAAAAAAATATTTTTTGAATAAGGTGAATCTAACCAAAGAAAACCATAAAGCCACAAAACAACCAAGACTACATATAGTGTAAACTTGCCCTTGCTGCCAATAAATTATGTCTTTTCTCCAGTAGCTGGAGGAGCACGCTGAATTGAAGAGAATCAAATGATGTCATTGATGGTTAATAACCATCTAATAATTTTTTCAAATCTAACGTTCTACTTACCGACATGTAAGAAGCAAATGATGTCGAGAGGGTGGACCATTTTTCAGCGACTTTGTTGGCTCCAGCCCGGAAAGAATCCTTCAAATCAGACATATCGGGAACCTGGAATAGAATGTTAGTTGGAATTTTACCTACGGACATACCTGGCTAGACTGCCGATTCTGGCTTCCGTTACCCCAAAGATCTTCCGATCCGAACGAAGATTGACCTTCGCACTTGGACAACGCACTCTTGGTTTCAAACTAAAACAAGTGTATGTCAGCATGATTCTCAAGCTTTTTTTCAACTTACATCCATCTCAGGTGTTCCGAAGTACATATCACTAGAGATAGCCTTGGCGTTTCCGAACTTCTTTTGAAGATCAACATCCGAAACAGGAGTAGAACCTGCGGTGAGGCGAGTTGTTGGAGCACGAGACGTTGACGAGGAAGATGAGGATGCAGTGTAGCGAGACTTCCTTAAAATATTACTGCTACACCTAATAAACTGATTGCATTTATAACTCACTGTACTGGTTGTGTCTCGAATGAATCGAAGAAATCGTCTTCTTTGTTATTTTTACTACTTCCTCCACTTGTATAATCCTTGGTGAAGAAATCGTCTTCGTTGTTTGTGCTTTTCTTTCCATATTTGTCGTCAATCACCTCCCAATCATCATCTTCCTTTGGCTGTGGCGACTTCTTAAATGTGAGCACATCGTCTTGCTTGATGGAGCGAATACCACCGGCGACAGAATGGGCAGCACGAGCTCGGCCGACTCCTCCCATACCAAGACGATCGACAGAAGCTGCTTTTGTTGGATCTTTAGCGACTTTAGCCTGAAAATTGATATATTGTGAAACTGAGTTAACAGAAATAATGTCTTTACCTCCATTTGCTTCCGTTGAGCATCAATATCTTGCATAGCAAATTTAGCACTAAGCTTCTGTAGAGCAGCAGCATCCTCTGCTTTTTGCTTATTGTCGAGTTCAACTTGGTATGCAAGTTTGTTTGCAGCGATTTCAGCTTCTTGCTGTTTTTCTTTTTCAGCAGCACGTTGCTCAATTTCATCGAAATTGATGCGCATTTTTTGAGCTCCGAGAGTATTCTTTTTTGCGCCGAGTGTCGCTTTTTTAATTGGCTTTTTGAGAATGACAGAGACTGGAGCAGCAGTTGGAACTGCCACAGAATGATCTAGATGATCAACGCTTGGGCCATGACTAGAATCTTCGGTTTTATGGTCAGCAATATAAGCATCAGAAGACAATGATGTAGCAGAGGCGGAAGAGTGACCAAAATCCTGACTGAAGAAATCTTCTTCTTCCTGAAAAATGATTGGTAAGTCGGTTTTTACTTCTTTCATGTGCAGCTATCTTTCAGAAAGATTTTTAGGTGAACTTACCGCCGTTTTTTCTTCAGTATGCGTGACAGTGTCAATTATCAATTGGGTTCCGAACTTGCGTTGAGCCTCCTGACATAATGTCGAAAGTTTGTCACGATACATTTGAGCTGCTCGGCTTTTGTACTTCTGCTGAGCCTCAGTCGTGTTGCACCCGTGGGCTTTGAAAAATTGGGTCTATAAATGTAACATGAAATGTTTTCTGTAGAATGATAACTCACAGCATTTCCATTTCCTCCGAGCTGCATTGCTCTCAGTTGCAGCCAAGTCCAGTTAGTATCCAAGTTGGTCGAACGAACAAACGTGAGATGAACTCCAAGGTTGCGATGAACAGCTGAGCAGTCGATGCAGAGAAAGACTCCATAAGTTACAGTACACCATGTGGGATTCCGAGCGCCACAGTCGAAACAGAGCTTTAAACATGGTACTTGTTTCGACATTTTACAGTATGAAGTACATTCAGCACTTTTTTAACTATTTTCAAAAATGAGTTTCAATCACAAACCTTATTTGGAGGCAGTGCTCTCAACTTCCGCATTGCTGTCTGCAAGTCCACTTTTGAAGGTCCATTCTCGTCAGACATTTTCTGAAAACAAATCAACCGTAATTTACGCTTATAGAACATTGAGAAATATAGAGAATAGCACAAGGAAAAGCTGTCAAGTCGCTGTACGAACATAAAATCAATTGCATGAAGAAACCGGTTTCCGTGGAAGGAACGTAAAATTGAGACAACCCTCTGAGGATCAGGAAGTGATTGTACTGATAGGGATCGCTTATCAACGTTCGCGACATAGAACTTGATAGAAATCAACTGGAAGTTATTGATTCAGCGATTGAGGACGTGGCAATGTAGTCCATTGAAAAGCAGAGGCTTTGCATTAAATTTCTGTGTTACACGTCGCTGTCCGCAAACACCACTGCGGAGTCGGCAGTCAACATTACGACAGTTCTCCGGATTGCGACTTGCAAAGAGGACATCTTCGAGGAACCGATTCTGAAGAAATCGGCGCAGAATTCCAACTTTCACCTAACTCTGCTGCAGCAGTGCAATTAATTCCGCCCTGATTTCCTCGTAATCTGTTTCTCGAAGACGACCCCTTCCTCGCAATTGGAGACGTCAGTTGAATTTCAGAGCAAAAAAGCTAGAATAATACCGACCTACCTATTGTTATACACTGAGATGCTACTTCCAAAGTAACTAGTTGATGTTTAGCCCAACAAGAGATGATGGTTTAATGGACTTGTTGACTGGGTGTTCAGAGTAGTACGGTACCACTTCCACGAGAAATCGCAATTTTCGACGTGAAAAAATAAATGAAGACCTGATATTTATCTCTCACTAGAAAACACATTTTCAGGTTCAAAACCAACAGTATCCCTTTAAATTTTCATACTCTCAAGAAACCATACAAATAGTTAATGATTGATACGAACAGAAAACAATCGGTTAGAAGCTACGATATTCTTTGAATGAGTTGCGAGCGAAGACGCCGGAGTCTCACTACTCTTCTTCTGTTTTGACTTTCTAAAGACTTTGATTCGAATTGCTTCTCGAATAGATTCATTGATTAGAACCATGACAAGTCTGCAATTAAATTATAAAATTCTGATTAAGTTCTCTCCCAGTACCCTTCCAAGGTTCTTGCGAGTATTCTCGAATAGGCACAAACCAAAAACTGGAAGCATAGAGCAGAATAAAAAGACCATGCATAGGTTGTGTTAAATGTGTCTATTGCTATAATTAGGTCCTGACAAGCACTTTGAAACAACATTCGTCGATATCGTCTCTGCCGCTTCAAAAGTTGCATTGATGAAATTTTAGCCGATTTCTTTAAGGATGAATTTAAAATCGAAGAGAGTAAAATTCGAAACTCAGCATCGGAAACTAGTTTGAAAAATTCAATAATATTAAGAGTATTAGATATGAAAGACATAGAAAATGCAGAGTATGTGAACAACGAACTCAATCGAATTGAGCACGGAATCCGGCACCCAACTAATTTGATTCAGTTGAAATATAAAATTACAACCATCTATAATATTTTGTATTTAAAACTGGAAAAAAAATCAAGTTAAGCCCTTACCCACAAATCCGGGAAGGGATACTGTAATGGAAATGATGAATATGATGGAAAGGAAAACCTGAAATTTGAATGTTTTTTTTCCAGTGTGTGTATATCGAATTCTCCAACGAACACGATTAGGATAATATTTGTATTCTGTATGATGTGCTTGAGGAAGACAAACAGCCATGAATCTATTCCCAGCTAATAGTATCTGCGTTGTTGGACCTGAATTCGGAATTGTATCAATAGAAATATAGGTAGAGATTACTGTAACTCCATGCAAACCATCCGATTATTCGTCCAGAAAGAACGTTATAAAAATCTGGGAGGTAGTAATAGTTTCTCGAAAAATGTGTTCATCTTTTGGAAAAAACTTTGAAACTTTGAAATTACAGAAAAGTGACTGGAACTGGCCAAACAAGAAATCCAATGCAAATTATATTATTAGCCATACTTTTAACCATGCAAATAACCAAAAATCCACTGTTCCGTTTAAACCTTGTAAACAAAGAAACAGCTATAGTAAGGTTGAGAACCAGTCCAAGGATAGATGTCTATAAAATATTCAGAATGCCGAAAACTTGTAATAGAATGGCTGCTCACACAGTCAAGCTTGAGCTGATTTATCTTGGCTCCTATAAGAGAGAACAAACATGTGTCTAATACGAACATGTTTTTGATATTATGATAAACAATTTATTAGTTGACCGTTTTTTGATATCTTTGACAGGAACCTAGAAAAATTGGCTCAAAGTTAAAAGTTAAGAGGCCCTTCCATTTAAGGTTTTACTATGGGTTCACCCCAAAATAAACTCACCAATAGCATTAAAGTAGCTGAAACTATTCTCAGCCTGGTAGTTGATTCCTCCATAGGTTTTTGCTATCTTGAAAAATCTCAGACAGAATTAAATTTGAATTTTTATGTTCACACAAATAGAGCAAGAGGTTTTGAGAGAATCACTGATCAAAGGGTGAGAGAAAATAGGTGACAAGTGAGGTTGATATAAAATTTAAGCTTTATTGTATTGTCAAGAAATGGAGAAAATGAAAAAGGAGAATAACATACCAAAAGGAAACAGAAACAGGTGTAATTTGTCTCTGATTCACCTTTAAAGGTGTTCTGAAATTTACGTGACTATATGTCGGTCAGGAGCAGATGGAAATGGGACTGCAACAGGAAAAAAAAGATAAAACCTGAAATCTCTGATTGGGGTGTAGGGGTTTTATTCAGGGATCTGTTTCCGAGGGAATCGGGGCGGAGTCAGAGTTAGGTGAAAGTTGAGACTCCGCCTCTATCTACAGAATGGGTTCCTCGAAGATAACCCCTTCCTCGCAATCCGGAAGTGTCTCAATAAAACTGGGAAAAAACTTGTGACACACATTCCTGGAACCTATGAAAAAGTAATATATTCCGACACACTTTTTGAAAGTTTTTAGTAAATCACGTTTTCACTACAACCCCCTCTCCCCCACTTGATTTTATTAAACACTGAAAATCAAAAAAAGAGCAATCTGTTCGATTGAATTGGAATATGTATGCCGGCTTATTGGAATCATGTTTTCGTGTTTTAGCACTATTTTAGTCTTTAAAAAAGGTTAGAGAAAAGTGCGTGCCAAAATATATAAGAGGATCGGCCCATTCTCCCGGGGTACATCAGAATGGGGTACATCGTGCTCATGGGGTACAAAGTCTCAGGGGGTACATAGTCTCATGGGGTACATTTTAGGTATAATCTCATGGGGTACATTTTTCGCTTTCTCATGGGGTACATCTCTGAAATACTCAGGGGGTACATCGCATTGTCTCAGAGGGTACATCGCATTGAATCTCATGTGGTAAACATCAAGTCGGATTCTACAGTTTCAGCGCTCATAGCTGCCTGATTTTTCCAACATTCGTTACATATTATGAGTGGTTTTTTTTGTTTTCCATGTAGTTATTCAAGAATGTAATTTCGCTTTTGATGTGGTTTGGAAAAGAGATAACTGTCCAACATTATTTCTTCTCATCCATAATTCAGAAACATTTGGCTGATTGAAGAAAAATTGCCTATTGCAAGATATTCGGAGATTTCGGCAAATTCTCTTATACAACCATCTCTTATACTACTTTTCTCTTATACTACCGAGTCTCTTTTACTACCACTGTCTCTTATACTACTTTTTTCCAATGTGTCTCTTATACTACCGAGTCTCTTTTACTACCACTGTCTCTTATACTACTTTTTTCCAATGTGTCTCTTATACTACCGAGTCTCTTTTACTACCACTGTCTCTTATACTACTTTTTTTCAATGTGTCTCTCATACTACCAAGTCTCTTTTACTACCAAGGTCTCTTATACTACTTCTTACCACAGAGTCTCCCATACTACCAAAAGAAACAAGGCTTTCGGCCTAATCCTATAGTTGGCAAAAAATTTGGGGGGTACAAGGGGGTACAACTGATTTAGGGGTACAAAATTGGTGATTCGGGGGTACAAAATTAGTAGGTTCAAAAATTTGGGGGTGAAAACTATCAATGATTCTGGAGTACAACCCATTTCAAACAGGGGTACAACGCTTGTGATTCGGGGGTACAATTTTTTGAAGGAGTTTCTGAATTCCTGCATTCCAGAGCTTGAAAATCTCAGAATTCTTAGAATTTCAGAACTTTGGAATTTCAGTATTTCGGAATCTGAGAATTTCGGAACTTCAGAAACTGAAAATCTGAGAACTTCCGAATTTCAGAATCTCAGAATTTCAGAACTTCAAAATTTCAGAATTTCAGGGCCTCAAAACCTCAGAATTTCAGAACTTCAGAATCTCAATATTTCTGAATTTTCAAAAACTACGGCAGAAAATTTTCACTTCTCATTGTCTTTTGATTGTTCTTTTTGATTTTGTGTCATATATTTCACTCTTTATGAAAAAAAATTGTGGAAATTGTTGGGCATTTGCTGAAAGGCATTAGTTGCTTTGAATTTTTGAGTCTCGAAATTTCTAGAACGTACACAATAGAGAACTGTAAAATAATCTTCACAAATTTCACAAACTCAGGATTTTAATGTTTAATTTAGGTTTTAAACCCCAGTCCATACTTCCCTCACTACCAATTTTTCTTAATTGTTTTTTTCTCAATTCTATTTCATTTCCTTTTGCTTTCAATATTCCTTCGTTTTGCCCAATTTTTTTAGCCAAATTTTCCGTTTTTTCCCAATTTTTCTCAATTTTTCCCAAATTTTCAATTTTTCTCAAGTTTTCCCAATTTTTCAATTTTCCTCAAGTTTCGTGGTAATTGAAATGTTCTCATTTTTTCATAATTTTCTAAATTATTGAATGAAGGAAACAATCACAATTCAGTGATTTTCCCACAAAAATTCAAAAATCCCAAAAATTGGCCCAAAATGAGCTATTTTCCTTCGAAAATTGTTCGAACTGGGCAATAAAACACTACAAAAATTATTAAATTAATTTTTTTCGATTAATTACCACGAAAATTTGAGCAAAAACTATGAAAAACGAAGGAAAACGGAGAAAAATCCCAAAATAAAATTTCCCAGTGATGACGTCATCAGTCCATGGCCGTGGCCGAGCTGCGGGGTTTTCTCTTCCATGGGAAATTTCGCAAAATTCACAGCTTTTCACAAATCCCA